ACAGACTTAACGTTGGAGCTTTTTGAGAATAAAACTTCATGTTGACGTCCAGAACCCAGATATTTTTAATCCTGACATCAGGAAGGAGACTTTAAAGACTTTCATGTAATAGTTGGACATTTTCTCCTCCGCAGGTTTTCAGTGTTTCACCTCTGGATGACGTGTTGCTACAACAAGTTTAGAAACATTGTGTCCAGAGGAACTAAAATATTTCAGTTAATGAAATGAGTCAAAAAGTAAAAAACAAACTTTAATAAAGTCTCACACTCCACACCTACTGACCGGAACCTTAAAGAATGAAAATGTTTTATGTGTTTAATCTGCAGCTGAGTCAGACAGAGATGAAGTGTTTGTGACGGCAGCTGGACCGCTCACCTCCTCCTGCTCCTCCTGCTCCTCCTGCTGCTCTGACTGAACCACAATCTTTTTATTAAGAGAGACGAGGTCGTTTTATGAATGAAACGTCCGAGTTATTAAAGTGGGATGACTGGACGTCTGCTGACGACCTGAAATAAGTTCCTGTCCTGCTGAACAACAAACTGTTCTCTGGAGACAGAGTCGTCACTGAATGTTCTTTTGATCAGGAGCTGAAGGAATCTGAGCTTTGGCTCAGGTGGAAGAAATGATGCTGACCATCGTTTCCTGGATTCTTTCTTCTCTTTTTGCTCCCGACTTTAAAATATTTCACATTTTAACAAGAAAAACTCAAAGATCCAAGAAAGGTGGAAGCAGAAGACGTTTGGGTCGAACGTGTCGTTTGAACGTTTTTCATTATCAAGAATAAAAACGTGACAGTTTCTGCTGCTGTGAGCGCTGACGGACCACAGGGAACCGGGTCCAACGGTTCTGATTCACCCACCAGGACGAAGGAGACACTTCCAGCTCCAGTTCTGTTCAGAACCGCTCATTCCTCTCATCAGGTCCAGTCACCGTGAAGCTAGATGTTTGTGATTCTGTCTTTGTTGGACCTGAAACAAGGACAGGATCTGGGTCCACCTGCAGTCCATGGGACGGGGTCCCTCAGTTGGACAACACGTCTCTTCATTGGGTCGGGTCACCATCTTGGACAACATGTCTTATTAAGTGGGCCATGTCCCCGTGTTGGACAACATGTCTCTGGGATTAATGTCCTCCTTCAGATCTTTATTTTAAACTGATGTTTTTTTCAGGCGATTTCATTTGATATAAAATCTGAAGTTTTCTCTTCTCCAGGCAGGAAAAGTTGCTGTGATCAGTTTTTGTTTTGTTTTTATTGATTTTATGAGTTTATATGTTTAGATTGACTCAAACTTTTTATTTATTTATTTTTATTTCAATAAAATAAAGAGGTGAGCCTTTTCGAGGAGAAATGTTTCTTTTTGGCTCAAAGATGCAGAAATGTGTTGAGTTTTCAGAAAGAAGAACAAAAAGATTAAAGAGAGACCAGAGACCAGGTCTGGTGTGTCCTCCTGGTCTCAGACCAGGACTCTGAGGATGAGGAGCAGCAGGAGGAAGAACTGATGATGGAATAAAGTGATGATGATGTTTCAGCGAGGAGGAGGAGGAGTAGGATGAAGCCACTTCAGGGACGTTTACACGAGTGGGTCGGCTGTAAATGTTTGGACAGTGAAGACACGGAGGTTCTGGTTCTGGTCCCAGCTGTGACACGTGGACCTGCTCTAAATCTGCTCATGTTTCTGAGACTGAAGGTTCTCTAAATATTTGTCCTGGTGAAAACTCCTTCAGTCGTTTTCCTCAAGATTAGATTTTTAAAAAAGAAGCTCCTTTTCTTGTTTTTAAAGAAAGAAAAGTTTTTATAAAATTAGTTTTTGCAGAAATAAGTTCGATGACCTGAAATAAAAACATCCTGAAATGTATTTATCTAAAAACAGAAACAATAACAATAAAAATCATTTTCAAATGGATGGAGTATTTGTGTATTTATATATATTGTGAGCCATTTGTGTATTTTTGTATATTATGAGCCTTTTGTGTGTATATGTATATATATATATATATAGTCAGTCATTTGTGTATTTAACACCATTAGGTCTGAGTTAACACAATTACCATAATTGTTCTTCTACAAGCCGCTTCTTTTTGTACCTTGTGGTTTATGTGCAGGAGCATCTTATTTATTTATGTATTTTTAATCTTTTTCAAAATGTATATTTTTATTTTGTGGGTAGTTGTGGTGGGAGTGGTGGTGCAGAGGTTAGAGAAGGTGGGCCTGTGATCGGAAGATCGTTGGCTCAACTCCCGGTACTGACATCAAAATGTGTGACCTGCTCGCTGCAGCTGCAGAGACAGAAGTTCCATAAAAACTTTACAGAAGAAACATGGAGGGAGGCAGGAGATGCCAGAAGGACAGCAGCGCCCCCTGCTGGCTGCTGACTGTTTGAGCAGGGAGGATGGAGAGGAGAGACGAACAGCTGGAAATCTCATAAGCCTCATTTCATCTTCAGTAGGACATCATCTCCATCTTCATCGTCTGCCTCTTCTCTGTGGTCCGGTTACTGAGACAACTGGTCCAGGACAGAAACCCAGACCTCCTTATCCCCAGAGACGCTCTCCAGACCCTCCTGGAGGACCTCGAGGTGTTCCCAGACCTGAGAGGTCTGTCTTTTAGTGTTCTCCTGTGGGACGGGCCCAGACAACCTCCAAAGGGAGGTGTCCAGGAGGCGTCCTGAGCAGAGGAACCTCCTCAGCTGACTCCTTTAGATGCAGAGGAGCAGCAGCTGTCCGAGCTCCCGGATGATGGAGCTGCTCCGTGTCAAACGCTCAAACTAACAAAATGTTCAAATCTTCTCTCCAGCAACACATTTCTAAAGATGTTCAGGTCCACGTTCCCTCTGAAACATCTCCGCTTCTTCTGACAACAGTCATGTCCAGAACCTGAGTGTTGCAGCTGTCCAACAGTCCTGGATGGAGCAGATGTTCTAAAACCTGTAGATATTTTTCTGCATGGATGGAATCTTTCCAGATGTTTAAGCTGCTCAAACCAGAGCCATTAATGCACCCCCATACCATCAGAGAGGCAGGCTTTTGAAGTCTGAGCTGGTACCAGTCTGGATGGTTCCTCTCCTCTTCAGAAGGAGGATGTGGATTCAGATTTGGATCTGTTTGACCTCAGAGCAGTTCTGGACTTCACCTCAGTCCATCTGAAATGAGCTCTGGTCCAGAGAAGATACACGATGGATTGAAATGACTTTTTGTTTGATCGATACACGGACATGAGTTCACGCGTGGCTTCTTCTACTCAGTCTGACGGCAGACACGGCACAGCTTTTCAAAATAAAGGTTTAATTTTCATCGTCAGATGTTTCCTGCGTTCTGAATAAAGTTCAGAAGATCTAAACCTGTACAACTTTTTCAGAACTGGGGTCAACAGTCCTGCAGTGGTGGAGTCTACCTCCGGGTCCAGACCAACAAACAGGTGATGCTGAACAACCAGACCTTCTGGTGGTGGACAACAAGAGAGGAGGGCAGTGGAGATGTAGTGATCTAAAGAGACTGTAACATCTGGAAGAAGGAGCAGCTGGAGAAACACCTGGAGCTGAAAGAAGAAACAGAGAAGATGTGGAGAGTCTCAGAGGTCATTGGAGGACTCGGTGCTGTGACCCCCAAACTGGAAGAGTGGCTCCAACAGATCCCAGGAACAACCTCAGAGATCTCTGTCCAGAAGAGGAACAGCTGAGATACTGAACAGAACCCTCAGAACCCGGGCCTCTGCAGAACTGCAGGTTTAATTAATGTGGATGGAGTTTCTTATGATCAGTTGTATTTTATGTCTAACCTGCAGAGGAACCTGCAGAGGAACCTGCAGAGGAACCTGCAGAGGAACCTGCAGAGGAACCTGCAGAGGAACCTGTTTCCTCCTCTTCCTGTAGGATCCTGTCTGAATGACGGAGCGTGTTGATCCAGGGACAGTCCTGACTCCTCCTGGGCTGTCCCTGGTCTCTGGTCCTGTGTCCATGGACAGGGTCTGGAGGTGCACTCCTGGAGAGGAGGAGGTCTGGTTCTGGAACCCCAGGGTCTTGCATGTTGTCTGCAGATGATGTGGTTCTGTTTGAGTCTTTGGGCCAAGACCTTCATCGTGCTCTGAGGTGGTTTGCTGCTGAGAGTGAAACAGTCGGTTCCTCTTAGTTCTGGACCAGAACCAGAACTCCCCCCCTCCAGGTTGGGGGGAGTCTTTGCCTCAGGTGGAGGAGTTTAACTGCTCAGACCCAGATCAGGTGAGGAGGAGCTCCATCAGGGGGAGTTCAGAGAGCTGCTGCTCCTCTGCATCCAAAGGAGTCAACTGAGGAGGCCCCTCTGATCAGGACACCTCCCTTTGGAGGTTTTCTGGGTCTGACCCAGAACTCTCGGAGTTCTGGACCTCTCAGTGACACGTCAGGCTCCTCCAGGAGGAGCTGGAGAGGAAACCTCAAAAAGTGATGAGCACCTGAACAAAGATCCCAGATCCAAACAAACAAACAACCAGAAGTTTAACAAACAAACAAACAAACAAACAAACAAACAAACAAACAAACAATAATAAAAGAGACAAAGACAAACGGTTTCTGTAGCTGTAACTGTTTCATTATAATAATCTGTTTGTTGCTTAATTTAAAACGCATCTACCTGTTTATTTATTTATTTGTTTGTTTGTTTGTTTGTTTGTTCTGAACTCGGTCTGTGTTTCAGGTTCTCAGCTGCAGGAATCTTCTGAAGAGAAACCAGAACCTCCTGAGCAGAACCAGGAAGTGGAGGAAGGAGTCTCCTCTGTAGGATCCTTCGTAGGAACCTCTGCGGGTTCTCCGGTGTCAGGGGGCTCATGTTGCCTCCTCCTCCTCCTTCTCCTTCTCCTCCTCCTTCTCCTTCTCCTCCTCCTCGGAAACGGGATGTGATGTAAACAGAACTTTTTTTTTGTCCTCCTGTCTTTGGAGAGTTCGGATCTTTTTCTCAAACTCGACCCAAACGGGTCTAAAAGAGTCGGATTCAGGAGTTTTATGGACCGGTCCGGGAGGTAAAGAACCGAGCAGGTTCTGGACTGGACCAGGCCCGTCCGCCGCCGAAAAACCAACTCCGAGCCTTCGGACCGGGACACCGAGGACCGAACCGGGCTGAAGCTGCTGTGTTGGGCCTGGAGACCAGCTGCGGACAGGTACAGAACTTTCTGCTGATCCCTGAGTCCGACCAGAACCGAAAGTCCAGAAAAAAAGTTTACTCAAGAAAACAGATCTGAGATTAGATCCAATCTGAGGCCTTCAAGAGATCCGAACCAGAATCTTCAACTGATAGATTGATTTAATAATCTGAACCAGAACCTTTAGCTGATAGATATTTTTAATAATCTGAACCAGAAACTTTAACCGATAGATTGATTTAATAATCTGAACCAGAACCTTTAGCTGATATTTTTAATAATCTGAACCAGAATCTTCAGCTGATAGATTGATTTAATAATCTGAACCAGAACCCTTAGCTGATAGATATGTTTAATAATCTGAACCAGAATCTTCAGTTGATAGATTGATTTAATAATCTGAACCAGAACCTTTAGCTGATAGATATTTTTAATTATCTGAACCAGAACCTTTAGCTGATAGATTGATTTAATAATCTGAACCAGAACCTTTAGCTGATAGATATTTTTAATTATCTGAACCAGAACCTTTAGCTGATAGATATTTTTAATAATCTGAACCAGAAACTTTAGCTGCAGGATTGATGTAATAATCTGAACCAGAACCTTTAGCTGATAGATATTTTTTATAATCTGAACCAGAACTTTCAGCTTCAGGATTGATTTAATAATCTGACCCAGAACCTTAAACTGCAGGATTGATTTAATAATATGAACCAGAACTTTCAGCTCCAGGATTGATTTAATAATCTGACCCAGAACCTTAAACTGCAGGATTGATTTAATAATCTGACCCAGAACCTTAAACTGCAGGATTGATTTAATAATCTGACCCAGAACTTTCAGTTGCAAGATTGATGTAATAATCTGACCTAGAACCTTAAACTGCAGGCTCACTTTAATAATCTGAACTAGAACCTTCAGCTGCAGGATTACATTAATAATCTGGACCAGAACCTTCAGCTGCAGGATCACATTAATAATCTGGACCAGAACCTTCAGCTACAGGATCACATTAATAATCTGGACCAGAACCTTCAGCTGCAGGATCACATTAATAATCTGGACTAGAACCTTCAGCTACAGGATCACATTAATAATCTGGACCAGAACCTTCAGCTACAGGATCACATTAATAATCTGGACCAGAACCTTCAGCTGCAGGATCACATTAATAATCTGGACCAGAACCTTCTGGTCAGCAGTGATGAACAGAACCTGCTCCATGATCCGTCATTCATTCGTTCATAAACTGCTGGATTATTTTTATTCCATCAGAGATTATCCACAGCTGTCTTTAACGGTTGGAGCTCAGAGCTGGTCTCAGATAGACCCTGACCAGGTGGACAGGCGAGGCGCCCTGGACTGTGAGGTTTGCAGGTGATGTCTCTAGTGAAGGTAGGGAGCAGGTGGAGGAGAGCCTGGAGAGGTGGAGGTCTGCTCTGGAAGGAGGAGCGATGAAGTTGTGAGGAGCAGAGGTTCTGAAGGAGGGTGCGTTCAGGGCCAAACCTTCCTGAGATCAGACCTGCTGTGATGTTTGGAGGAGGAGGAGCAGGAGGAGGAGGAGGAGGAGGTGAAGACGTTCTGATCTTCACTGGCAGGAACCAAAACAACTCGTTCAGAAACAAATGGTCTGTGTGTGTGTGTGTGTGTGTGTGTGTGTGCGTGCGCGTGCGTGCGCGTGCGTGTGCGTGTGTGTGTGCGTGTGTGTGTGTGAGGGATCATGTTGACGTTATTTTCAGGCTCAGAGTTCAGTCAGTTCGTTCCTCAGGAACAAACTGTCAGCAGCTCCTTAAACATCCAAACAAACTGTCCCACAGGACGGCTGGCGTTTAGTAAACATGCAAACAACAAAACATATAAACAACAAACATGTAAACAAACAGGAAAGAGGTGCAGAAGTAAACATCTCAGATGTTCACACTTGATTTATATTTAAGAAGAAACTTCTGAAGAATTGATGAGTTATGTTGAAGCGTTCGTGTCGGGAGGAACACCTGCAGACAGAACCACGGTTCTGACCCGCTCAGAGTCCCAGAACCACGGTTCTGACCCGCTCAGAGTCACAGAACCACGGTTCTGACCCGCTCAGAGTCCCAGAACCACGGTGCTGACCCGCTCAGAGTCCCAGAACAACGGTTCTGACCCCCTCAGAGTCCCAGAACCACGGTTCTGACTCGCTCAGCATCCCAGAACCACGGTTCTGACCCGCTCAAAGTCTCAGAACCACGGTTCTGACCCGCTCACAGAACAGACTCGTGCTGAGGAGGAGCAGCTCCTCGGAGGAAGACCTGTCATGTTCAGGTCTGAGTGGGTCCAGGTCCAGGAGGCTCTGCTGGACCCTCAGGTTGCTCCTGTTGGTCTCCGGTTCTGGTCGTCGACCTTTGAACCCTCATGACGAGTGACTCCTCTCGTGAGAACTTCCTTCACCTCAGGACGAACATGATGTCGTCACGCGTGTCTCACTGCTTCTGTCCGTGTTGTTTGTCAGAGGATCGATGTTAAACAAGAAAACAGACTTTAAACTGGTAAAAATCAACAAGATTTAATTTTGTTTCATCCTGGATGAAAGTTTATTGCTTTAAATTATTACAGTTTGACTCAAACAAAGTTCCATTAAAAGGATTCAGGGCAACAACAGTTTATTTTTAGCAGATAGACTCAAAACTTGTAATAATTGTTTTATTTTCTGCTAAAGCTTTGGTGGACCGGCTCATTGGGCTCCTCCCTCCTGATTAGGCTCCGCCCACCAGCTCTGCAGATTCAAAAGTTTCAGGAAGTGTTTGTTTTTGACATTTGATGACTCGTCTTGTTTTTTTTACCAATTCTAACCGAACTCTCGGCTTTCCTTTCGTTCCGTTCTGAGCGTTTAATGTGAGCGAAGCAGAACATCTGCTTCTGTCCTCGTGCAGTTCTGCTGTCCAACCTCATGTCTCCGTCCACACCATGTCCCTCTGGGTCGAAATCAGGCCCAGGCTTAAACTCTGGTCCAGTTCTAGGCTCATATGGTCCAACTGAAGGTCAGAAACCAGCAAGTTGTCTTCACTGACTCAGACTGGGTCGTTCAGAACTTCTGGAACCAGCAGCATCACCTGAACGGTTCCTCTGAAGGGACAGACTTTTTGTTAAAACCTCTTTGGACCGGACTTCTTCTCTCTGCAGTACGTCCAGCTTTAGATCCAGACCCGTTCGGCCCAGCATGGACCCACATGTCTGAGACACGGAACCGTCTAAACCCACCACATGGGACACGTTTGCAGCAGATGGACAGGAAGACCTGAGAATAGAACCTTCTTCCAGTGAACGCCTCGGATCGTCCCGACGCCTGACGTGTTTCTGTCGTCACACGTCGGCTCTAACCGGAAGCTGCAGCGAGCCAGAGAGCATCGTGGGTAAAACGTGCTCAGCTCGGCGCTGTGGTCGGAGGAGAAGTGATTACAGATGAGGTTAGATGAACCGGTGTCGGGTTTCCATCAGCCGGGCCGCAGCCAGAACCTCATGAAACCATTAAAACCCACAGGGTCTATTAGAACGGATCAGTCGGAGGTACAGGAGGAGGAGGAGGAGGAGGAGGAGGAGGAGGAGGAGGAGGAGGAAGAGGAGGAGGAATGAATAAATAATTTATTTGATCCAAAACTACTTTAGTGGGAGAAACTTTGCTGCTTCCAAGATGTTAGCTTCTTTGTCATCGTCTTCATCAAAGGTTTTTTTTCATGTTCCAGTTTTTTATTTTAAAGGACCAAAAAAAGTTTCTATAAAAAGTCAAATTTATGCATAAATTTAAAAAAAAACACACAAAAAAGAAACAATTTTATGACAAAATAAATAAAAACAGTTAAAATATAAATAAATCAGCTTTAAACTGTGTTTTCCTTGAAATAAAGAAATGCTCAAATGAAAAGATTTAACGAGCACAAAGTAAATATGAATTATTACGTCACACTCATCGTCTGAATGTTCATGTTCACTCTGTTGTGTCTTCCGTACGTTTTCTGCGTCTTTCTCGTCCCGCAGTTTTCAGCTGTTTCAACAAATCATGAATCAAAACGTTCGGCTCGTTCAGGACAATCCTGCTCTGACTTTTAGTTTTGGTGCAACTTTAGCTTTTTTAATTATTTAGCCTTTTCTGACATTTTTCCCTCAGAGAAAATTAATCAACTCATTTTACCTCCTTCACATCTTTAGCTCTGTTTACAACCTTTTACTGCTGCTTTCACATTTTGTTCTGCTTCAGCTTCTTTCAGCTTCCTTCCACAAATTTAAACATTGTTTCAGCTACTTTCAGCTGTTTTTTCAGCTGATTTGAGCTCCTTTCAGATTCTTTCTGCTAACTAGAACATTTTTATGCTTTTTCTAACTTCTTCCTGCTAATTTCAGCTTGTTCTGCTCCTTTTAACTTATTTCTGCTAGTTTAGAATTTTTCTACAATTTCAGCTACTATTTAGCTGTTTTATGCTAATTTGAGCTTTTTCAGCTACTTACACATTTTTTGTACTCATCTAAACTTTTTTCAGCCTAATTCAGCTAAAATATGCTCTACATTTTGTTCTTGTAATTTAAGCTTCTGTCTGGTTTTTTTAGCTACTTTGCAGCTGGTTTTTTTTTCTTATTTCAGCTTTTTTCAGATAATTTCCACTTTTTGTGCTCATTTCTGCATCTTTCAGCAAACACGTTCTTTCTGATTATTCTGCTTATTTACACTTTTTCTACCTTTTTAGTATTTTTCACTAATTTAATTTGTTTTCAGATAAATTGAAGTTTTTCATGGTATTTTCAGCTACTTTTAATCTAATTAACTTCTTTATGGTAATTTCAGCTTGTTATGCTCCTTTCAGCATTTTTTCCCTGCTAGTTTCAGCTTTTTCTGCTATTTCAGCTACTATTTAGCTGATTTATGCTAATTTTATACTTTTCAGCTAATTCCACATTCATTTAGCTCATTTCAGCGCTTTCTGCTTCCTTCTGGTAGTTTAAGCTTCTTTCTGCCTTTTCAGTTACATTTCGGCTACTTTTTGTTG